GGGCGGCGACGTGCAGGGGCGTCCAGCCCTCATTATCGGCTTGGTTCACGTTGGCTCCATTCTCCACCAGGAACTGCACCACCTCCAGGTTCTCGTCAATGCAGGCCTGGGGGAGCCAGCAGGGCAGGTCAGAGCCTGAGCAGATCCAGCCCCTGGCTCTACCCACAAGGCACCACTCCTCTCCCACAGCTGGGGCGCAGCCCTGGGGGAGCCAGCAGGGCAGGTCAGAGCCTGAGCAGATCCAGCCCCTGGCTCTACCCACAAGGCACCACTCCTCTCCCACAGCTGGGGCAGAACTCAGGCACCCTTCCCGGTAGCTGATCCCTCTCAGCCATCTGTCTGGCCTGGGGCCAGAGCAGCCCTGGGCCAGGCCAGGTTCACTGGGCCCTGCAGCCTCTGGGACACGAGGGGGGGAACGTGGGATCCTGCATCAGCACCAGCTCCCAAAGCCCAGCTAGAAATAGACACACCAGCCTGGGCCAGGACTGCGGGTCGGAGTGGGGGGCAGGAGCCCAGGTCCAGAACAGGAGCAGCAGGGGCCTCACCCCAGCCCTGCTGGTGCCCCTCACTCCCGACCCACAGCCCTACCCTAACCCTGCCCTCGTCCCGAGCCCCAGTCTCGACCCGTAGGCTCCTCAGAGCACTGAGGACCAAACTCCCACCCCGATCCCCAGTGGGGTCTGTGCTGCGCCATTCCTGGCTGAGCACTGGGGGTCCCTGAGCCTGGCCTAGGGGAGATACACGCAGTGACTGGCCCCCGTGAGCTGAGGAACTGGGGGATCCCTGCTCCCCACTGGCCCTGGGCCAGGCTTACAGGTGCAACTGCTGCATGCAGCCACGCAAGGGGCAGGGGGATTCGAGGGGCGCCGGGGGAGAGCAGGGCAGCAGGTGGAAGGGGTCAGGAGCAGGGGCAGATGCCAAGCACAGGGACTGAAAGTGGACACAGCACCAAGGGCCCTCAGTTCTGTGGGGCTGGAATCGCCGTGGGGCTCTGGCCAATCACTGCCCTGCTGAGCTGGGGCTCACCCCCATCCCCCGACTCATCCCCTAAGCCCCCATGGGGTATCGAGCAGCCCTGAGGATCTGGAAACGCCTTCAATTCAACCGCGGCCCTTTCCTTGGCAAACCGGGTGCTGGAAAAAGCTGCCTCAATGGAAGATCAGGGATCTGGGGGTGGGGGCACAAAAGGAGGGGCCATGGGGACCCCTCAAGCGCCATGGCCCCCCAAAATGCCATGGGATGGAAAGCTATGAGGCATCCCATGACTAAGAGGTGAGGCACCCCTCTTCCATGGGGAGTCCCCAAAAATCACTGCCGTGGGAGACCCCAAAATCACTCTCAGGGGCCCTCAGCCCAGAAGTCACACACCCTGGGGTGGGGAACCACTTGGGGGCAGGCTGGGTAGTACCCCATAATCCATGCCTGCCCCTCTCAGCTAACAGTCCCCCCCAGTTCTCCTCCAACTATGCCCAGGGGGCTCTGCAACAGGCGGGGGGCTCCCTGTGGGGGGACCGGCCCCCCGTCCCGCTCCGAGGCAGAGGCGGTCAGTTGCCGGCCACGAGGGGAGGAGCAGGAGGCGGAGGGAGGCTGGGGTCCAGGGAAGGAAGCCAAGGCCGTCAGGGGAATGAAGTCATGGAAAGTTGGGGCGGGGGGGAGGCAGCTTCTCTGATGAGAAACCCAGAAAAGGGCTGGAGCCTTAAATAACCTCCCAGACCGGGCGGGGGAGAGACAAGACGAGCTTGGCTGGATCATGAGGGCTT